CTTGTATGGACGACAGATTCGGCTGAAGAATGCCCAATTTGTTGTCGATTCTCGATAAGGTACCAAGAAAGCAAGACATGCGAGGAATACGGCGAAAGGGCGCGCTGGTGGGGGTGGGGGGCGGGGGCGGCAGGTGTTTCGCGGCAGCTGAGCCCTCCTGGAAAGTGAAGCTTTCTTGGTCTTTGGGCTGACAGACTACCTTCACTCGGCGTGATCACTACAGGTCTTATTTTGAGGGTCTGCTGCGCATCTTACTTCTCGAATTCGAGGATACACTGGATCTTCATTGGTCGGAGACCAGTGCAGCGAAATGATGGAAGGTTGAGTTTTGAATCGGCGGAAAGTCCGCAGAGAAAAGTCCGCAGTCGTCGCATTCCTCGCATTCGACTGATTTTGGTGGCAGTGTCTGACTAGGCTTTTCTAGCAAGAGATTGTGTGAGTTCGCCTTCCTTCAATACCGCACTGCATCGAAGGAAGTCTCGGGACGCGTGAGAAGGATAAAGTCATGAGTGTTTCCTTCCTGGCAAGAAAACATGACTGCCGGCATTCCATGTTGCCTTCCTCTTGTTCGCGACGTCCCTGTGACATAAATATCTCGTGTGACCCTCATCACAGAGCGACCTCTGACATAACAACCGTTTCCATTTGAAGACTAGGATAGCTGTCTGGCTGCACCATGTCGACCACGATCGCTGCAGACGAACTGCACACAGTGCCCAGTAATTCGTCGTTGCCCACATACTCCTCGGCAACAGGCATCGAGCTCACAAAAATTTCACCATCAACATCGTCCGATTCCAGTCCCGCACCCCCAGCCTACGATCGCACAACAACCGTCATCCCGGGAGACGCGGAAGTCGTGCCCAGCAGTGATGGCGGCTCAGAACCCTCCCCCTCAGGAGACGCCTTCACTCCTACAGTGCACTTCCAGATCGAGACCACCGGAAAGCAATGGCTCTCGCTCCCCATCGGCACCCGGCCCGACCCAATCGCGATCTACCACGTCGAAGCGGGCTCCTGGAGCGCGGAATCCGTCCCGGCGTACGTCTCCCTCCGCTTCTCGCGCAATGACGGAAGCTGCCACCTCGTAAGGGGCGACGACACATCTCAAACGCCCGTATGCACGACACTCTACCGCTTCGGGCCGGGAAAGCCTCCCATCTTCCGACCGTCTCAGGCTCTCGCGCCGTTTCACACACCCACGCCTCCAGCTTCTTCTGGCTCTTCTTCGACGGAGGTGTCACTCCAAGAAGAGGAGAATGGTCACCGTGACGCCGACGTGAGCGCCGCAGACCTCCAAATCGTCTCCAAGTCCCTCACCTCCCGCACCCAGATCCTCAAGACACCTCTGGGAACCTTCCAGTGGCGCTATGCCACGCGCAAAGAACGCGCTGCCGTGCCTGGCGCCGACCAACTGCTCGTCTGTGAGCTCGTGCAGGCCGTCGCGCTGGCAGGCGGAAAGAAGACGGAGGAGCACAAGACGAGAATCGCGCAGTTTGTTCGTGGCAAGGAGACGAGGACGCGGGGAACTGGGCGCACGACGGCGGGAAATGGGGGCAGGTTGATGCTCGATGTGATGAGGTGGGCTGAATCGAAGGACGGTGGGAGGGAGGCGGTGGAGGTGCTGGTTGTCGCGAGTTGTGTCTGCATGTTGAAGAAGGAGGTTGATCGGAGGCGGATGCAGCAGATGATGATACTTGCGGCTGGAGCTTCTGGGGGAGCGTAGTAGTGATTCCCAAGCCCTGTTCATAGTTCCGTTCGGCGTCTCTCTTGTTTGTAGGGTAGTTAGCATTCCCGAGTATTATCACTAATGCTCCCATTTTCCATATCATCCCTCATTTCGGCTACACTCGGTGTTGTAGAGGATCACAGATGATACATGGAGGTAAGAATGCCTAATATGAGGATGCAAATTCCCGAGAACGAAGCACGGTATGTGACGATTGGCATCTGGGGGGATGCTGAGAAGGAAGATACCGAAAACACAGGGGGAGAGAAAATGCAGACTGCAAAAGGTAGAGTCGGTAAGATGGCTCGAACCCATGACCTCTAAAAATAAATAGCCACCGGGGGTCGAAATCCTTTGTGTGTTCTTGCAAGTGATCAGTCGCAACTACTGCGCCAGAAGTCTCCTCATCCGATGGTGCTAGGAGAGGAGAATAGTTTTCTCATCTACCTCGCGAAAGCAGTGCCTGCTCCCTGAATATCCGCTGGCTTCTGTGTATTCATCGTCTCTGGGGAAATATGAGGGCGAATTTCCTGATCCTACGACTTTTCTAGACCATATTATACCTCATCCCTACGGGATTGCTGCCCGTATACCGGTTTAGAAGAGCGAATATATACGTTTATTCCAATATGTACTCCCGAGTCCAAAGTCATCATCCATCTTGACCTGAATTTGATCGACCTCCCCCCCCGCCATAACGGCTGGTCTCAACACATGTCACGATGTTGCCTGAGCTGTAAGGAGCCTGTGGAACAATTCCAAGTTCAGACTTACACTCAGCCCGGCAAGCAGGCGAAACGCAGATTTGGCATAAAACCCGAAGGAGGACCATTTCGTATCGTATCAACATGATTCCTTACCCAATGAGACTCTATGTATGCTTCTAAAGCTCGGCATAATCATAATAAGTGCGTTCACCTAGCCTGACAGAGGATCCCTCACCCTAGGTAGCTTCAATACTTCTACGAGCCTATAGTGAAATCCAGGGCCAGTGTGAAAGACCTGATTGCCCGCCAAAGATCGAGTTCGCTTTGTCTGCACGGGCTTATATCTGCTTATAGACCCGGCGATGTATGAGCATGATAGTCAAATTCAATTTTTGAATGAGCCAACTAGAGGTTTGCATATTAAGACAAAGGAACGACTCTTTCGAGACGAACTGAGCAGTCTTAGCCCAGTACATAACAGGCTTTCAGTGTCCATCGAAAGCAGCGTACAAGTAAAGACTGCGCTGGGAATATGAAAGGCATGCCTTTCAGCGGTCACATTACGACAGAGGAGAAGAAACATCAGCTTTTTAGCGCCTGTACTAGCCTCATCCTGGGTTGCCCAGGTATATAACGCCGCCCCAAAGCACACTCGCAGAGCTTGAACTAGAGAGACATTCTTGTTGCCAATCACGGAGGGTAACATCTAGATAATAACAATGGCTTGACAAGGGTCGCTCTATCTAAACGATCTAATCACACGTGTTGACTCGAAGTTAGAAGCTCACCAAAACTCATTTCTACGTGGTTCTCCCGTTCAAGCCCCGTCATCGCCGTCAATTTCGTGAGGACGAATACGAGAGGAACGAGGGCCCGTGGAGAAAGCTCGTGAGTGTTCTTTTCCTTCTCCATTTGAGCGGGATCAATCGCTACCTCCATGATTAGTGAGAACTTAGTGCAATGAGTGAACTGGCAAATCGTCAACAGTTTCTACACCTGGATCGACAAGCAACTTTCTATCGGATCTAGTTTTGAGGAATACGATATGGACCACGGGAATGTGACGATTTATAGCTGGATGTCACGGCAGGGTGTTTATTCGGGGCCCGCTGCCCTGGTAGGTTATAGGAACTTACGGACAGGATTTTCACACAGATTCATAAGTTTGGCTTGCAAGCTGCCGGCATCTCCCACACGGGACCATACAAGGATTTACCTCCGTTCGAGACAGAAAGAAAGATACGTAAACATACTGGGAAACTCATGTAACATCTGGCCTTGTCTAATTACAAAAAGTCTCATCTTAAGTAACATGAAGAAACTTACACTGAGCTGTAGAGACAGACGATTTCGATATATCAGAAGAAAGGGCACGTCTCCCACCCACTGATACTTGGGTCGACACTGGAAGCTGTTACATCCAGACCATGTCGGCAGCGCTAGTCACGCCACCCCTACATAGTTAGAAGGGTAACCCCGCACCACCGCCCCAAACAACACAAAAAACGAAGCTATCGTCACCCACCATGGCCCGCCACATGGTAGACATCAAAACATCAAAATGGAAACTAAAACATACAACACCAGGTATTCGCTGGTCGTCACCGACCCAACTACTAATCCGGCCCTCATTGGCTTATCTATGGGAGAGCGGACGGGATCCCGAGTTTTCCAATGGGTATGGTCGTATGTGGTAGTCTGGGAAGCGGAAGATGCCCAAGTCGAGGGGAAAGGTGGACATTCAGCACCTCCATCTCAACCCCCCATTCCCAGATAGACTCATTCCAGTGAGGGTTGACGTCAGATGGAAAGAGAAAAGTCAAGTCTGTCATTTATTCTTATGATTCGTCTCAGTCCCGTTCACTTGTTACCAGAATTCTCGGTGTCCCCCTTGGCCAGCCATCACGATGTCCAACCAAGGGTTGATCAACTGCTACGGTATCGTAACGTCAGGGATGAAAGCTTCAAGGCCATTATTCACTGTTATTCAGCTCCATACCTAGGCTCACTGTGAATTGTGAGGTGTATCTTGTGGCAGGAGAGTGAAACAACACTACCAGGTCTGAGCCGAGGAAGTAGACACAAGTACCTGACTCTACAGCCTAACTATCCGGAAGCCTGACTCCATATTTTTATGTCACCTCAGATGTCTAGTAAGAATAAACTTTTAGCATAGCGGCCCTCCCTCTGCCTGTGTACGCTATATCGTACTTGATACCACACTCACATCAGAACTCCTTGGCATCACTGAAAGGAAGCGGCCCTTGAGTCAAGAATACTCCGAGGCCTCCTACTTCACCCTTTATGCAGAAGACATATGACGTGCGAATTCTAAGCTCAGAACCAATACGCTAATCTTGTCTGACTTGTCAATGTTGAAATGATGGGGGAAAATACTGGCCTAGGCAACCGTGGAAGCCTGAGAAGAAGAAAGTTGATAGCTGAGACAAGCCTGCAAACCGATTGAGGCCGTGAGTCTTTGCATCTCCCATAACACATACTTAATCGACACTCCTACCACATCGCTTGCGCTCTGCCTGTCTGCTCCAAGCAACTCATTCAACATGACCACCGAGGTGAATACCCCAAGCCTACCATAATCACGCAATGACCTCACTCACAAGCTCAGCCATAATGACCATAGCAACCGAGTCTCTAAGCCAATACTTACCTTCTTGTAGTACATCTTCCTGTTTCAGTCAAAGATTATTGCTGCACGTGGGAGACCTGCTTTTCTAAGAGAAGTTCCCTCCCTCTACGAAAATGTCCTTGAGCTCCAGCTACCGGACTGCATCGTCAACGAGGCATGCTTGCCCAAAAACGTGATTCTCAAGATTGAGTATTCGAAAGACAGGGACCTCTTCGATCCGCCAAAGACCGCCCTCTTCGACAACGAGACCCTCATCTACGACCGGCTTCAACCGCTGCAAGGGAGCGTCATACCAAAATACTTGGGCTTGGCGAGCATCGCGGGCAGGAGAGCGCATCTCTTGTCAGATATCGGCGGCATGTCCATGGTCAAAAAGGAACTCCTGCGGACTGACCCAGCGACAAACTTTGAGGAGATGATTTCTGTTTCGCTTCGTCTCATACGTCAACACGATGTTCGGCTAGAATATCTGGACCCGTCTAACGTCCACTTGTGCGGAGATGCGCTTTGGATCGTGGATCTCGAGCATGCTCAGTTGATTCCGTCAGACCTCTCCCACGAGGAAGAGAAAGAGGAGGAGGATCGTCTCCGGGAACAAGTACGACGTTTTGTGGATAACATCCAGGCTCGACGAGATAATGAGAAGAGGATGATAGAGTTGCATAGGCATCCTCCCTGGCGATTCAAATCTCCAAGACCTAAAAAAAGGAAAGAGGCGACGAAAGGAAAAAAAGGTTGATAAGCCGAGAGAGGTCACTGGGGTACATGGGGTCGTGGTCGAAAGGCCCAAGCTCCGCCGGGAATCAGGCTCCTCCTCGGACATAATCGTAGATGATTAGAACGAGTCTATTGCGAGGGAAGAGAGGAATGACATCAGGCTTGAGTCGTCAGCGTGCTCTCGGCAACTCACAATGAGGGGACAAAAACACCATTCTCTGCGGTCCGCTCAAGTATTTCGGTTGCTTCGAAGCTCTAATCAAAACTCACGGAGCTGCCGGAGCAGGCCTCTTGATAAAATTGAGACCAGGCATAGTAATTGAGAAATTCATCATGGTGGCAGGTAATCTACCATCGTAACTCCTAGCTGCAAGCCCGGGATTCGTATTGAGGGATTGTTAGAGTTACACAGCTCTATGAGACCGGCTCACAGTGTCGTGAGCCCCTTTGTAGTGTATTGTGAGGTTAAAGTTAATGGTATTAGTGAGTCAAGTGATGACAAGCCTGGCTGGTCGTAGCATGATTAACCTAGGCAGACTGTACAGTTCAATTAGATTAACCAAACTCAGATCAACTGATGACGCCTTTTCTCCATCTTTCCGGGCTATACGTCTTCTTCACAGTATCCTGGGGTGGTGGTGGTAGGGCAGCAGGGAAATTAATACCTCTAGTCGTCATATTTTGCAACCCGGCCGAGTATCATGCGGCGAACTTAAGTAACGCCAATCCAAATCACAATGATGATGATAGCTATGAAGACAACGGTGTCATCCTAAATAGTAGCAAGAAATAGCTTCTTCAACCCCCAGGCCTCGTAGAGTTTGTCAATGACTGCCTACCCTTCATCAAGCAATGTTTTTAGCATTAGACACCTTGTCGAGTCCACCAGGCGCAAGGAAATCGAGGGCATATACTTGGTCCGTGAACCAATGTGCCAAGTCTTTGTAAAACAATCTATCGTGGTCTATATAAGGCACTCCGTGAAATCCCAAGAAGTGAAGTGATCAACGCCACATTGACTGATTGTGTGCAAATGATTCCATGTGCCAGAGCCCACCTAGTGGACTTGTAGAGGAAGAGTCCAGTATCATCCGGCCTTTCCAGGCGAGAGATGCCAACCAAACTCGTCGCACAAGACGACATCCTACTAGCCTTCATCCCTCTCTTCCATCATATTCACTATAATACATACACTCAGGGACTGGAAAAGGGTAGGCATGACCCGTTTCTAAAAGACATGACAAATTTCGAGTCTCAGAACTTCGTATACGCAAACATGGAGCTGATTGCAGTACCGCCTTATCGTGGTTGGCCGCGCCTCGCTCCCGTACCTTTTTCACATCGGAACGTCGTCTGTCGTTGGGGGCTCAACACTGATGGCGTAGATGACGTGACTTATATACGTTGTACTGCGGACCGAGGACCTCTTTACTCCCATCTCTACTCCCATCAGCCGTGAGCTACTCCGTACATGCACATCCCAAACCTCAACGCCTCAGCGCGCCTCATCGCCAAAAGTAAAACCTACACCCACTCACTTCCACAATCCACTCAAACATCACGAAAGCAGCCAAACACAAATCCAATGCTTCATCAATCGGCAGGTCAGAAAAGAGGCTATATTGTTTGTATCAATCTCACCAAAGCCAGTCAGCGCGCAGCAAAGACGAGAAACTTTCCCCACGACCAAAAACACAATCGTTTCGAGCCTAGAGTCTCGTCTCCAGTCTTCGCCACCTCTGCCAGCTTCGACTACTTTCCACAAAACGCTTCGCCCTTTTTTTTCCCTTTCCCCCCGTGTTACCAAGCCAGGGAACGTCTACTCCTCGAGCCGCGTTCCCAGAAACTGCAACTCAAAAATCAAAATAAAACTCCAGATTTCACTCATTCCAATCCCCCTCCATATCGACACATGCAGCGTCAACATCACAAGATGACGCCCGAAGCAAGAAGACATCATTGCATCTTTCCCCTCCTCCCATACCAACATTGGCAAACTTCCTAGATACGTAGAAAGCCGAGGGGTGAGGACAGAAGAAAAGAGAAGGATCGCAAAAAGTCGACTACATACATGAAAGTGAGAAAGAAACAAAGAGCTTCCTCAACTACAAGACGCGAAATCATCAGGGAAAAAAAGTCAAGCCAAAGATCCCAGTCGGAAAGGAATCAATTGGCCCCCTTCTCCCTCATATCCCCTCCCCGTTTCTTTTGTCTGCTTTCCACACCGTTGATCGTCTTTTCCGAGTCCATAATCCCTCGCTCAAGTCCTGCCTGTAGACTACTAACACTTGGACCGTCCTCTGCTGTTTGCCCCGTGGTGAACGTTGCAGGCATTGAGACAGGGAGATCGTGTGGCGTTTTCGCCTACTCGAGGACCATTCGTCAAGATCAAAACAAAGTCGTACTGCGCGGTCGATGCTGATTTCGTAAAAGAAAAAGAAGGTCATTTCATGTCGTAAAAAGTCGTAAAGCTCGTCCAGAAAAGCCTCAGTGTCTCTATTGAACACCATGCTTCCTCCACTCTCCGCAAGTCTTGCAGACCATGGTGATAATGACCATGATCGTGTCTTGCCAATTGCAAACTCCACCATTGAGGGACAGCAAACACTTCGCTTGCCCCTTTAGGTGAATCGCGTCAAACCCCTCCACCGGCTGGGCAGCTCGCGCTCCTGCGCAACGCCATAGTTCTCCCCTTCGCAACCGAACCCGCGGTTCTTAAACTGCTCGGTTCCGCACTGCATGGCCGCCGCGCCGTGGTTCGAGTTGGGCCTCAGCCCCAGCGGCTCGGCTGCCTTGCGGGCGGTTCGGGAAGTCCAGGCACGAGCTGCCTCGCGGAAGGATCGCCTCGAGTCGTTGGAATCGATGCTACTGCGAGTGCTAGCCGCGTAGGAGGGATTCGGGGGCGTAAAGTCCGTATCCATGGGCATGGGGCCGAGAGAGGACGAGGGCTGGTGCTTGGCGAGCTTGTTGCTTGCGCGGTTCGAGTTACTAAACGACCGGCGGACAAAGACCGTACCTCCACCGACAGCGCGAGGAGGCGGGGGAGGAGGCATGTAGTTAGGAGGAGGTGGAGGCGGCATGTAATTGGGAGGTGGCATGTCCACCGAAGCAGACTGGGCGTGAGACCTTTGCTTGCGGAGACCTGGGATCGAGAGGTCGACGGACATACGAGAAGCAGACTTGCGCAGCTTCTTGGCTGCCGACATATCTTCATCATTGTCCATGCCGCGTTTCCTGTTTCCGTCGCGCGAATCTGGCAGAGGCTGAACCTCCTCCGTCGCCGGGAGAGGCCATTGACCTGATACGCGCTCGGCAAAGGACTTCTTGTCCGTGGGAGGCTTGGTCGAGTATGTGGTGGTCGAGGGGTTGAACGAGGGCGGGGGAGGCTGGCGGGTGGAGCGGATAGCATGCGCATCAAAGAAACCGTCCTTCATAAGTTGCTGGTAGCTGGCCATGATCTCGTCTCTGCTGGGCATGCCCGCGCCGTTGGCGAAATGTGCAGGCATCGCAGCGGCGGTCGGCGCGCCAATGGGACCCAGGCCGTTGCCGTTACCATTGCCGCTGCCGAAGCCTCCAGCGCCGCCTCCTTGAGCAAGGAGCTTGCCATCGAGGCTCAGTGGGCGCTTAGCCCCCTTATCCTTGTCCCTGACGAAGCTCAGCTTCTCGCGGAGGCCGCCCCAGAAACCCTTCTTCCCGACGTGGCTGCTAGCCGAACTGGCGGGTCTCTTAACTTCGCCGTAGGTGATTGTCGGTTGGTGTAGAAGTGGCTGGGACTGTTGGTGTAGCGGCTGATGATATTGCTGCTGCTGCCGAAGTCTCTCAGGGGAGAAGACACCAGCGTCAGGTGCGTCGACGTAAAAGTCCATGTGGAAACGGCGCGCAATCTCAGTCGAATCCTCGGGGCCGAGGAAGTCGATTGGTGGCGCAGCCGAAGTACGGTCGTTCATTGAACCCTCGACGAAGCGGGAATTGGCGCGCTGTACCGACGAGTTTGATCGTTTCGCCGCGGGCCGCTGGCCGTTGGACGTCGAATTGCTTGACGGAGGGCCCGTGATCGGGTGGGAGGTCAGCGGACCAGGCGCCGACGGGTCCTCCATTGTTGACATGGGCATTGTTTCGTTTGTGCTTTGGTCCAATGTTTCGTTCAGAAAGGGGATTTGGGTGATTTGAGTTTCTTGCGGTGTGGGTTGACGGCCGAAATGCAACCTTTTTTCCGCCTGTCCTTCTTTACTTGAGGTCTGTTGAATCGGGGGAAAGACGTAATGGAAGCTGTCGTCAGACCCTGATGAGCGCAAAGGTGAGGGGAAGGTTTTGTCGGGCGATGCGGTGCTGCGGCATCCGAAAGGGTTTTTGTTTACTTTTCTGTCGTTACATCTGCCACGCTCCGCATCCGCGCAGGCACGCGGCGCAACCTCTCTGTCGTCGCGGGCTTCTTCCCTGCACAGATGGCAGAGGAGAAGGCGCAATGAGGCGTGTTCAGATGATGAGAGTTTGAGTATTGTTGCAGTGTGGAGTGGGGATGGACGAGTGAGTGAAAAAAGTGCTGAAAAGGGGGGAGAGGGAAGAAGATACAGCGAGGACGAAGGTTGGAAGAAAGTAAGGTAAGGTAAGCTAATGGTACGCGCAGAAGTCACGAACCGTGATGGGCTTGGTTGGAGGCGTGTTGATCTCGTAGTACCAAACGTATTGGAAGGGCAACGGCAACCAACAATGGAGAGCCAGGGGTAGTGCGATTTTTTGGGGGGGAAAAGACCCGCAAATGGTCCAATGTCGGCCGGGGTTGCTGACCTCTGATGGCTGCTGTTCCCCGAACTAAGGGCCAGAATGGGCAACTGGGGGCCGCGAAAGGTGGAATCGGCCGTTGCTGCGTTGCTCGGGCAAACAAAACACGCCCACATTTATCCCATTCGTCCCTGGACGCGCAAGATGCGACTCCACTTGGCGCGTTGCCCTTCACCGGGCCATCCTCGCCATCCTCACCTTAAAAACTGGCCGAGAGGAGCATTGGCCACGTGACGCTTGGACCTGGTGCTCTTTCCCTGACATCCAAGGCATACTCCCCCGTACGAGGACCACCTCTGTCTCTCAGACTTCTCTCCCGTGATCTCATCTCATCTCACCCTTCTCCTCTCTCTCCTCGCGTTAGCTTGTTGTCTATTTACGTCCGTTGGTGCTGTCAATCTAGCTTGATCGTGGCACGCACGCACGCAGCACGCTACGGCTCACATATTCCATGCATCTGTTCTCTCAAGCTATCTTGCTTTAGTACAGATCTTATCCGTCTCACGCTACTGGGACATTGAGATCGACAAAGCTGAGGGAATCCGGCGTTGACGCAAGCACATTGTTGCAACGCAACACAGACATCCGAGATAGTCACATCGTAGGGCTCGTCTCTCATAGGAGCCGTTATTCATCTCACCCCCCTATCAGAGCCTGGCGTCACCTGTCAACGTCACGAGAAAGGATGGGCAAAACATCGATAGCATCTTTCAACATTGGAACCTTTTTCCATTTTCCTATACAAAAGTTTAAACTAATTGACCCCATTGCCCACGGGGCACAGTGGACAACCCACTATCAATCCATGCAGTACTCCTGCCCAACTAGACACAAGGAAATAACAAAGCAAGACCAATGACACATTAAAGCTCACTCGGATGTGCCTGTCTTCGTGAACATCGAAAAGTCGTTTCGTTTTCAATTCCAGTCTGAATCATGATCAAGTAAGACATGGTAGGAAAGTAAAGATGATCGCTCATGGCCAAGTAAAACGGCCATCAAGATCGGAGAGAGAGTGTGTGTGTTGAGTGTTGGGAGGAACATAGGGAAAGAAACTTGGTTTCCGAGGGGTGCCGTAAATGATGACTGACTCCCAGTTGGTATATACAATTCGAAAAGTTGTCTCCGATCCTTCCAAACGCCCCATTGCCCAAGAACGCTTGGATGCAAGATACCACCGCCCTTAATACGAAGCCGCCGAAACGCCGTTAAGCAAGTGCACCGGAACCTCATTGCGGGTTGACAGTCTTGTAGTATTCATTTGCCGGCTTCACACCAAATGTGCCATCGGCACGCTTGTACTCAAGAGGATCTTGCACAACGTAGCGGTGGTTGTAATGAGCGCTGTTGTGGTGAGGATCCTGTGGGCGTTGCCTGTCGTACAAGGGGCGCTGGCTGTCGATGAAGGTGTCTCCGTACCCACGCTTGGTGCCTGCGCGTGCTGACTCGTAGACGGGGTTGTGAGAGCTGGGAGGAGCAGCCTCGATGAATTCTGAACGACCCGCCATGGGAGGAGCAGTGAGCTTCTCGATGGAAGGCAGCATAGGCGGGAGTTTGGTGCCCATGTGCGGCAGATCGGAAACTGGGGCAAGCTGGCGAGGAGGAAGAGAATCTCTCCTGTAGTCCGAATCGCGCCTGGCCATGTCGTGATCCCTTGCTCCCGGACCGTACACAGAAGGAGAAGGTGGCACCATCATGGCAGACGGCCGTCTGTCGTACGAATCGCGGGGCGTGGGAGGCGGGTTGCTCGAGGCGTACTGAGAGCTGGGTCTGCTCGAGTAGCCGTAGCTTGCGGGTTGGTAAGGCGAAGGCTGCTGAGACTGGTACGAGGCCGTGGTAGGAGAGATGGGCGGCGGCTGCGCTGAAGGTTGGGCATATTGATGGGGAGGGTAGGGTGCACTCGAGGCATCGGATCCAAATCGCAGGTGAACGTTGGTGGACGGGGCTGGACCGTATGACATGGGCGGCGGCGGCGGTGGCGGCGCTTGGAAAGTCTCGGCTTTGAAGTTCTCAATGAGAGATGGTTTGCGTTCCGGAGCAGGCGGGTATGCGGCGCGGTGCTCGCTGCTGTTACTCGTCGACCTCGCACGATACTGTTCCGCATTGCTACGAATCTCTGGCGTCTGTGTTCTCCTGGCGGTGCTCCTGAATTCGTTTTCGGGGTTGGTGTCGAACTCGTTTCCTGTCGGCTTTCCGTCGCGTCTTCGCATGCGAACGTCACGGCGAATACGCACACGACATCCCTGTTCAGAGATAGTCTTGCTCAAGTTGGTGCTCTCGGTGAGACCAGGGAACTTCTTTGCGCTGAAGACGTTGAATGGCACCGACTTGACAGCCATTCTGTACTGGAAGCAGGGGTTCTCATCCTCATCATCCGCGTCGCCGCCCGGTTCACGATCCTCCGCCCTCTTCACGTCTTCGTACAGGTGGAAGGCCAAGACGTAGCGTCCTTCATGACGAACCGAAAGGTCGGGGAACAGGAAGTAGCCTGCCTCTGTGGGCCTGTCGAGATAAGCCATACCCGAAACCGGCATACCAGTCAAGACAGGAGGTGAAGTTGCCGCGGGAGTTTGAACGCGTCCATGAGCCATGGGACGCGCGGGTGTCAGCTCAGCATAGAGGAAGAAGTTGGCGCGGTAGTTGAAAGTGATATCGGTAGCTTCGGCTCTGGTAGGTCCCTCGTAGACGTGCAACTGCACCACGGGGGGAGGATCGACGGGGCGTCTATCGGCCGCGGCTAAAGAATGAAAGTTAGAGGTAATTCTGTGACAAGCAGTTGAGAGATATCGAAGCTCTCTTACACTTCTGACCAGATCCGCATGCACGAGCACGCTCAGGTTGCTGCAAAACCTTGAGCTCATACCACATCCTCGAGCCAGACCGCGTCGGCCTGTCCTCATAACTCTCGGATTCTCCGATGTGGTCCAGCTGGACGTGGCGGCTGATATCGACCGGCATGGTGAATGTTGTGGGATTGTCGTCGGGACTGTTGTCGAGACTAGACTTGATATCAATCGATCCCAACGATCGATGGCCTTGCACAGGTCTAGTTGAAGAAGAATGTTAGAAAACCGAATTGCACTCTACGTGGCTGATGCAGGAGAGAGGCCTCAGAAACGCCTGCGCCGTTCTCGATTCTTTGGTTGTGGGGATCCGGTGACTTGTGTAGTGCCCCGACAGAATGGAACGCAGGGTGCGAGGCCGTTTTCCTCCAAGCAGCAACCGATTCACGTACTTTCGGGCCAGTGACCAGGCAAAGGCGTTCCCAAGAATAACAGTTCCTTCTTGCTCCTTCGATTTCAATCACGAGGTCGTAAAGTGAGCGCTGGCAATATTCGACGACAACGACTGCGACGGCGAGGTTGTCTATATTTCCCAGACGGCTCGGGGACGGTTGGTGAACAGGAGAGAAGGAAAGAGGAGGACGGGTGGGAATGGGGGTTTGATGAGGGAGACGGATGGGAGAGTGGATCCACTTGGACTGAAAAGAGTGGGAAGCGAAGGAACGCAATTGGCTTTCAGGGGGGTGTACGAGTGTCTGCTGGCTGGGACCTGGGCTGGACCGGGACTAGCAGGACTGGGACAGAAGGGGGGGAAGAAGGGACAGTGTGAGATGTACTGACAAGGGACCAGGGAGTAGGTAGATGAATGGAGACGGACTGGGGGAAGGGGGTGGTAGACTCGTCAGTTGGACGGAAGCACACCAAGGTCGAACGGCGGGCCATTGTGGGCGAGGTAGGATCCATAATTCCCTGGATAGACACGCCCAAATGGTAGAGCACGGAGCTGGGAGAAGAGTTCCGCACTGGGTACCAAGGGTGCCATCTCTGGGTACCGCACCTCGAGTTAGGGAAGTATGGCAATCTATGAATACTGTGCGTTCCCAGATGATTCCATTAGCACTGGGTGTGAGTGAGAGAGGGACCCAATGCCTCGGACTGGGGCCCAGCTGACTCGGCGGTAATTGGTAGAGACGAAATGACAATGACGGCCGCTCCAAGGCCCAAACTCAGAACCTCCCCCAGCCCAGCCAGCCCAGTCTCTAGCCCAGCTTCCGCCTCTGAGATCACTCGCTCTCCCCCGTCAGTTCGTTCCCAGTCCACTGGACCCATCCGTCCTGCTGAATCAACTGTGCGTAATTGGTCAGAGTTCCTGTCCTGTCTTGGTGTCCTGCTTGGTTCACCTTTTGTTGCTGCTTGCTTTATCCCATCCTACCCCAGCACAGTACGTCTTCGCCTGTTTGGCTACGACGGGAGGTTAGGTAGGTACTGCAGTCTGCACGGATGCATCGCCTTCCAGCAGGCCGGCTAACGGGGTTCACAAAATAGCACACACCACCTCTCTGCAAGCCATTCGACCTTCCTTCTGTTCCGGTACGGTGGCGCTGACGGCGCTGATGCCAAGCCGAGTTGGAATGCTCATGGCCCAGCAAAAGGTCCATCACTAAACCTTACAGCGCTGCCCGGGAACTCAGCCCTCCGTCGTTACGTCCCTTGATGGTGAGGTTAAGCCAAAAATGACCGATGAGGATGAGTATGAGTGAGTGCCTCCTGAGTTTTCAGTACAAGGGACAAGCCAAGTTTGGAAAAGAAGAGCCATGGTCCGCACGACGGCCCTTGCTTCACTGGGTACCCGTATCCGTACGAATGCTTGCCTTCTGGCATCTGGCCAGTGGTCGCTCACGCACTCACGCACTCCACTCTGCTCTGCTCTGCGCTGCGCATCTGCTAGAAACCCAGGCAAGACAGCGGGTGTGAGGTTGGTACAAGGGGGGAAGAGAAAGGAAAGAAGAGGTTTCCCCCGGTGATACTGCGGGATTGTGAAGGAGCGACCCATTCCAGATACCAGCGTTCCACGACCACATCTGCGCAGTCCGCCTTGTACCCAGTGTGAGATAGGCAAAAGAGGAGAATGAGAAGAATGGCATTTCAAGTCAGTACGAGGGCGCACGGGGGCAGGGACGGACGGGGGGAAACGGGGGGCGTGTGTGGTCGATAGTGTGAGCCGGACGCTAGACTCAGGTCTAATCCGTATCCGTCGAGCACTTCGTCGTCCACACATGGGTCGAGATATGTGCTAATGCTAGCGAGGCGCTGGCTTGGGTTCTTTTGCTGGCGTTTGCTGCTAGTTCGCTTCCAGAGACTGAGATCCCGCGGCGTCCTGTGTCACGGAACGAGAATGGACGATTCCAGCGGGTGAAGAAACTCCACGTTGGCAAAGCAAGGGACAGTCTTCTTCTTGCATCGTGCTGTTCTTTTCCTTCTATTCCCTCGCAAGCAGGCTTCCACCAGCATCGCGATTTCAACCTCAAAAGGGTCTCATCTCAATCCGAAAAAATACACCTCCAAAGGTTGCCGCGCTTATTCCACCAGAGCTTGCTGCGGCTTGCGTGGTGCGTACCGGTATTCATATTTCCGGATACTTTGCCTAGCTTACGGCAAGGTTTGGCTGATTACCAGTTGCTTCAACGAGAATGAGTGATCGTCACTGCCCATCTCTTCCGGCCTTGTGGTTCATGGCAGCGTGCCGTGCGTGCGTACCAGTCATTGGACTTGTCTCTCACTAGAGGCGACTGATAGAGTTCTAGGACCATCCCCATGACAGGCCAGAAGGAAAACCATTGCTTTTGCCTCGGCCGTGCCAGAAGTTCAGAACAGCCACCGAAAGTCAGTGCAGTGCCAACCCAAAAACGCACAAAGAGCCGGAGTCTCGGGTTTGCCTTCGAGCGCGAGGGACAGATCTGTCTGTGGCCTTGCCTTACGATGCTGCTGGTGCTGATGCTGGTGGCACTTGGAGGACGGTGAGCAGTCTGTGAGCAGCATTGAGGCGCGTCTAGTCCGAGGTACGTCCGGTCATGCAAATCTTCACCATGGTGATGATTTCTCGTGCTCACAACCTCTTTCGGACTTCTTCACATAGTGGTTCGTTCTGTGTGTACAGTCAGCCTCCCACTGTCCATTGTTTCCCCCCGTGGACTTGATCTCTCACTGGTCGGCTGTTGAGTAGGCATGACAAGGCCAGGCCACCCTACTAGGAATAAGAGGCAGAGGCGCATAAACAGATGGGCCATCGTTTGAAAAGTGAACTGCGAATTCGTGGAGCTCCCTCTTTCCCTTCTTAGTTACCCGAGCGCGGCCCTCACCCGCCCATCCAGATCAGGGATCTCTCGTTCGTCCTGCTGCTGCGTTTGCAGCTTGCAGGCGTTAGGTGCAGGAGAATGGTGGTGCAGCATGTACGCAGTAGGTGTGCCGCCAGGCTTCTCCTCTGACAGACTCAGACTCTGCAACCCTGGGAGAGCATCTTTGGGAGTCTTGGCCCATTGTGCCGCTCTCGGCTTTCGCGCAATGTGGCTCGATTCCATCACACTGGACCTCTTCATTCGTTATTTCCGACCCCAACTGTGTCCACTTGACACTGCTTGAGCCAATCCGGGTCCGAATGTTGTCCCAGCCCTTCTCGTCATCCCTGCTCGCCACCATCGCGGGCTCAGATGTGTGCCAAGAGGCTAAGCAAGCCAGAGTTGCCGGGATTTGAGGAACGCTGCCAATCAACTTCATCACTCGGCCAGAGGGGCCTGTCACTTTGGTTGCAACTACAGTGCGAGAGGGGTGACTGCGCTTCCAAGGGCAGGGGAAGAGGTGAGCTTGCTTGGCCGCCTCCCTGATATGATAGAGGCAGTGCTCTACATTCGTATAACAGTAGGCTATCCGTAAGGAAAGCACACAACAGTCTAACTGTACAAATACAGTCATCTTGTTGGTTGTGACTATCCGTAGGCGTCAAGGTTGCGCCAAGGTTGCGCCGAAAGATTGTGCACAACTGTTGCTGTAAGAGATGCCCTTCATGGTGAGACATTCTGTGTGCGCTTCGAGACCTGGCTCGTACCGATCCTCAAGGTACGGCTCCCACTGGATAGATGGCTATGCTTCGAACGCTTCGAAATATCCGACTTGTGCTTCTGTCGCCGCCGACAAAAGAAGATGAGACGTTTTTGCCGCATTTTGGTGCGGGTTACAGCTGCCAAAACACTCTATGCTTGTCATCACCCTCATCAACAGCGGCCCTCTGTGTTCAACCTCCCACCTTGGTGGCATGTCGTGGCGCCGTGCGACACGCCCAGCCGGCATATCGCAAAGCTCAGGTAGCCGTCGAGATCCAGATGCTAGCCGCATGTATGCGTGCAACGCACAAGAGCCGTCCGGTTCTGGCTTTCAACGTCAGAATACCCAAGTGCCCTTCTATCCACGTTCATACCTAGCGCATATGACAGAGCTGGCTTGCTCATATTGAACCACAGAAGCGAAGCGGGAGTCAGGAATGGTCGTGCCGGCACGGCGCGTCGTTGCCCCTGACTGGGCTGGACGGGGACGGTGGACAAAGTCGAACGATGGCGTTGGGTGCGGGCGTTACCCAAAGTGCTGTCTCTCAACTGCCCGAGGTCTATAGACATCGGATGGCCTTCAACCTTGGCCTAGGTATTCACCTTTTCTCAAGGCTTGAGCAGCCTTGACCGCCAAAAGAACTCGGACAATTTGGTCAATGGCTTTGGCAGCAACCGTCCCATCGGTATTGCCCGAGAAAGACCAGAAAAAGCCAAACGTAAGCTTTGGAAGTGCTGTCTTAGTCTTTGCTTCGGATCAGGCTTGCCTCCAGGCTGCATCGGCCAAAGTTTCCAGGTTAGCGACAACTTTTTCTTCGGCCCCAGAGAAACGCCGTAGTACCCGAACAACCGTTTCCGGTCTTCTTGATGAATGGGGTTTCCGCGACTGGAGACCCAGCGCCGCAGACAATGCATTTGCGTCATCGTCGAGGATGCCCGTCGAATGTAGAGTAGGAATAGAGTTTCTTGACACAGCTGGCGGGTCATGGCCAACAAGTGAATATGGGCCGTGACAACAGGTTTGAGTCTTGAGTCGTGAGTGCGGCAGCGTTTATCTCTGGAAAACGGGCCTCCCGGTCGTAGGTAGGTATCTGTATCTGTACGCCTTTCCGTACGTATACCGGGGGGAGACTTGGTGGGTGGTGCTTGGATCTCGACTTGGTGAAAAACGAAAAATAAGCATAGAAGGGAAGCATCGGGCTTCCGAGGTAGACTGAATCAGTCGAGGCGCTAGCCAAGGACCTTTCCGAGTGATCAGCATCTACCGAGTTCCCATGGGCTCCACCCAGGAGATTTAATACTGTTGGCATTGGCGGGCGAGAGGTCGAATTGAGAGTGGTCAAGGTCAGGGCAGACGGGGGACTGTGGAGGATGGCAGGATGGGCAGGTGGATAACACCCAGTCTCCAAGTCCAGACTGTAGGGAATTCGTACACTGTGTGTCGACTGCTCCGTACCCTCGTAGGCTCGTACGAAAGATTCGGAATGAAAATCCAGGCCCGGCAGGCAATTGCTCCTAGCCTCCGACCATGTCGAGCACTTGAATCCTCGACGTGCCCGTACTATGTAGAGAATGGAATTCGAAGCAATGGCCGTACCTAGTCAGTCGTTCCCATTTCCCGCCCATTGAATGAATAGAAAGC